ATGTTATGGTAGAACACACAAATACAATGCATAATTATGTAAACCAAGTAATAAATAAACACATGGATGGATAGACACGTAGATAAATAGACAGTGATATATAAATATATGCACAAACATACACACGAAAGAGAAGGAACTAATTAAATGTTGCAGATTCTTTAGAGGTATTCTTTAGAGGTATCAACCTGTAGATTCTTTATATCTTTACTTAGGAATGTCAGATTTAAAAAAAAAAAAAGCATACATTTAAAAAAATAAAAATAAACGTGAACTTTTACTTTATTGTCTCGTTAACGAACACACTTCTAAAGAGCTTACATAATCACGTGATCAACATTTTAATTAACCCTTTCATGTTATGAAAAACCAGCACTGATTTTCTACTGTAGGGTTATATGCCACTGTCACTGTGGTGGTTTCTGATCAGTAGAGTCAATGTTGCATTCATTATGTCTTTATTGGAGTCATGAGGGACATGCCCTGTGAGTCTGTTTTTCCTCATTGTTTTCTCGTTGTTTATTTAGTAGGAGGTAAAATAATGCGACGAGAAATTAAAATTAAGATACAATTATGGCATTTGAAAAGACAAATTTCCACTAGAGACTTGTGCTCATGAATAATGTTACCCTATTTTTTTTCCTGAAGCTGAATTAACGTTGGATAAATAAATGCAGTAAACTTTGTCTCCAGTGCCCATTCTTGAGAACATGATGGAAAGCTCCCCTTACTCTGAGACCAGGAAGGTGGTGGGTCTAGACCAGGCTCTACTCGAGAGATGCAAACATGATTAGAGTTTGTGGTTGCACGGGAGGCAGGGCAGAAGAACTTATTGTTTTAGTGATGAGATAATCTATTCATTCCTCCATCCACATAATCCCTTCATGCTCAAAACATTACCCAAATTTCATAATCTCCTCATCTCAGTCTCATAAAACACACAACCCCCTAATCCACATAATCCCTTTATCAACCTCAACCCAGTGATGTCATCATCACTCCCAGCCCAAACAACATTGCGTATTACCCATAATTACATCATCTACATAAGCCTCTCATCACTCACGCATTCTTGACTCCCAAACCACATCAACAGAGTGCCCTCATCCTCCTGCCTCAGAATGTCCCTGATGCCTCTCTCCCTCATACTTGGTGAACAAGTGGTTTAGCTGCTGCCTATTCACCTTTTCTGGTGCACAGGCTATATCCAGAGGTTCCTCTGTGTTGAGCTAGATAGAGAAGGGAAATGGTGTTATGAAATCACATATAGTCTCTAATCTCTGTAACACTTCTTTTTCTCTCTCAGATCACCACCTCTTATCATTTGTTCTTGAGAACCCCCTCAGCCAACATTCTTGGTCTAACCACCCCTCAACTCAGAAGGAACCTGAACTTTCTTGATCTCCAGCAACTCCCAGCTGATTTCCATTCTGAACTCTCACCAATTCCTACCTTCTCCTGTCCCTCTCTGGCTATCTACTTGTGTAACACTACCCTCACCTCTGCCCTGCTCTCTGCAGCCCTGTTCCAAACATGCACCCCAAGGATGATGCACCCCCAAACGTGGCACACTAAGTCGTCCCGCTACCTGCAGAGATGCTCCCGTTCAGCTTAACACTACTGGAGGAAGTCTCACACCTTCTCCAGTATAAACAATCATACTTTTCCTCTCTCATGCTCCCACAATCCCAGGCATCTCTTTGATAACTTCAATTTTCATCTTCGCCCTGCTGTGGTCACCCCCAAACTATCCTTTCAGCCAATAGCTTTGTGTGCTACTTTAACAACAAGATTGATCAATTAAGTATATAATTCTCCTTTGCTCCTCTCTCTCAACTGCATTTGGACCATACCTTTCCTATCCTGCAGGCATTCTCCCCTGCTTCTGAACCGAAAGTGGCTGTGCTTCTTCTTTCCTTTCGTATCTCACGTTATCAGATCTCTCTCACCTGGTCCCTTAATGCATATCTTCAACTGTTTGCTTCTGGCATTGTCCCTGCTCCCCTTAAACATGCTACTGTTTAACCCGTCCTAAAAAGGCCATTTCTTGACCCGTCTTCCCCTTCCAACTATCTTCCCATATCCCTGCTCCCTTTTTTCCTCAACGCTTCTAGAAAGACTTGTCTTTACCCATTTGGCTTGCTTACTCAATTCCTCAATTCCAACTTTCTCCTCAACCTTCTTCAATCTTCTACTAAGATTGCTCTGATTAAAGTTAGAACTGATCTAATCGTGGCTAAGTCCAAAGGACTCTACTGTGAACTAATGCCTTTTGACTTCTCTGCTGCCTTTGATAATGACCTCCTTCTCCAAACTCATCAATCCCTTAGTTTCTGAGACACTGTCCTCTTGTGGTTCTCCTTCTATCTCTCCCAACATTCATTCGGTGTCTCCTTTTCAAATGACACCTCCTTCCCTCATACTATCTCGGTTTAAATCCCCTGAAGCTCTGTTCTTGGTCCTTTTGTTTTCTCTTTAAACTGCCTCTCTTGGCAAACGTATTCATTCATTTGGATTCCGCTATAACCTGTACAGGGATGACACTCAGATATACGACTCACCCCTGATCTCTCTCCCACTGTTCTACAATGTGTCATTGTTCCTCCTCGTAATACTGATCCTCCTCCTTTGCTCTCCCTGCAAGGTGATGGTACCTGCATCAGCCCATCCTTGCAAGCTCGCTGTTTTGGTGTTATCTTTGATTCTGGCCTTACCTTTACCCCTCACAGTCTGTTGCCAAAACCTGTTGATTCCACCTCAAAATCATTGCCCACGTTTTACTCTTTCTTACACAAGATGCTGCCAAGGAGCTTATTCATGCTTTTGTAATTTCTCGCATTAATTACTGTAATTCTCTCCTAATTGGTCTCCCCAGAAGCCATACTGCCCCATCACAACCTGTAACAAATGCTGACGCCAGGCTGATCTTTCTCTCCTATCACTCTTACACATCGCCCCTCTGTCAATCCTTACATTGGCTACCCCTGTAGGATTCAATTCAAAATATTAACCCTTACCTATAAAGCTCTAAACATCTCTAGTTCCTGTTACATTTTTTCACTGATTCGTAGGAATGCCTCTTTTTAATCTCTCTGCTCTGCCGATGGCCTTTTCCTTTCCTCTACATGCACCCTTATGGCTAATTCACTTGCTTTGGAACAGCCTGCCTACTCCCATCAGTCTCACTTTAAGAAGTAGCTCCAACCCCATCTTTTCAGGAAAGTTTATGGCCTCCCAGAGTAACTTCTACTTTACAATCTTGTCTCTTGAGCTATCTAAAGGTCCACACTCCACTCTCACCTCCAGTTCTGCTACTTCTCCAGCTTGTTTGTTTGCCCTCGATGCCCTTCCTATTTTGTTTTTATTTCCCACCTCTTCTAGACTATACGCTCCTTTGAGCAGGGTCCTCATCTGCCTATTGTTCCTGTAACATTTTGTAATTGTCTCATTTATTGTTTAATTTCCCCCCTTTTATAATATTGTAAAGCGCTGCACAATAAGTTGGTGATACATAAATTCTAATACTACTACTACTAATATACCGACTCGCTCGCTCACCCACTTAGCCCCATCTCACACTCACGGCCATAAGAGCAGTGGCATCTTGCCAGGGTCATTTGAATATCAAATTTAAGGTAAAAATAGCCAAAATGGAAATATATTCCTGTGTTGACTGAGGCAAGGGCATTAAATAGCAGCCTATTCGGACTTCTGCACCAGCTATAGCCAAGATATAGCCTTCTGAGATCATCATACTGCTCTGGTGATAACAAGTGAGTTACAGATTGTTTCCAAATCGGCAAACGTGGCCTGAATTTTGCAATAGGGTTTTCAATGCACTAGAATTCACTGTTTAGTAAACAAACTCTGGTGAGTTTCTTGTTCAAAATCTCACCACTTCCTGGGAGACAATGGGTGAAGCAACAAAAAAAATAAAATAAAATAAATATATGGCATTATAGAAAATAGATTAGCAAGCTTGTTTTTTTAATTTGTTTTATTTTAATCTTGCACTTTCATTAGTGTCCAATTATAGGAACTCTCTAAGCACCACAACCACTGCAGCTCACTCTACTTTTTCTGGTCCCAGAGGTGCCCTGGTACCCCTCCCCCTTGTAAGTAGCCAAGTGTTTTTTTTTTAATTTTTTTTACAATTTGACTTTCTAAAGCCAGTTGACGCTCTCAACCATTGAGCTAGCACTGCATCGCTGAGCTCAGGATAGGTAACGAAAGTACCTTCTTAGGAACTTCTGGCTCTTTGTGATTTGTAGTGGAGGAGGAGTGCAGTGCTCTGGGGACTCCAGGTAAAAAAATCGCAAAACATTCAACAATGGTTTGACTACTCATAATATGGGTGCAAGGGCAATTCCGGTCCAAATCACTACAATGAGCTGTTGTGGGATATGGAGCTTCAGGTTTTACTATAAGTTCAGGCTCCAAAGGTATACTCCTGGTAACTGATATTGGAGTACTTCTTCAAACAATATTACGAGAGCCACATTTCTGTGAAAAATACTGCAAATCTTGTGCACTTTATCAGTGATATATTATATCAGATTTGTTATGTTTGCTTTAAATGCACAATAAATATTATAGATAGTTGCGTACTATTGAAAGCACTGGAAATGTTACCACTGACAAGTAAAAACATGCACTTATATAAGCTTTTCAACATGACAATTACGTTATTACATTCATTGTCACCTTTATAAGAGCAAAATATCCCCCCTCCCCAGTTATAAATAACCTCCCCCTCCCCCGGGTCCATGAAAATGTATTCAGGAAAATGCTTTGCCTCGACAAACATGTGTCTTATTTGGTAGTTTTTGGTTTAAATCACTTGCGACACACTCAAACTGACACTGCCATTTACACCTCTGCTTGCACGTCTAAGCTGTGCTGATGAAAAAAACTCTGCTTCATTACCCCCTGCAAGGAAGTGCTATAAAAGTCAGAATTGGTGTAAGAGTAATGACATTATGTGTTCAATATCGGAATAACCTGTATTGATGGAGTGAAACCCAGGTATAGTTCTGCTTACTGCATGCTAAACGAGGCAGCAGAGCAGAAGCTGAACGAGCAGGGGATTGGCTCATTGTACAAGTGTCTTCTTTGATGCAAGCTCACAAAAGGAACAGTGTAGCATCGACACAGTAAGCCTGAAACGGCCAGCTGCTAACAGCTTCTCTCTGCACATTGTCTGAGAACGTTTCCTCTGGATACAGTTTATCCAACAAATAAACTTCATTGGTCCATCTATGGGAGACAACTACGAGGACCTGCAATGAACATCTTACCTTCGCCAAAACTATGCAAGAGAACTTGTATCTAGTTAGACTTCATGCTTCGGATATAGAAAAGGAAAATATTGAACCTACTGAAATCTTATTTTATAGAGAGATGGAAGCATCATTTTGAGCTCACCGGAACGTTGACACTTTACTGAGCTTAATTCCACTTGCTTGTTCTTTGATAAGGGAAGGATAAGGGTTAGAGTTTTTAGGTAAATTGAGTATCTGCACTTTGAAGGACTCATTGGGAAAGAATAAGGAAATAAATTAGAAGAACACAATCCTGAAAGTTCAGTAGTATACACATCTTTAAGGAGTGTTTTAGGAAGCTAAGCTTCCTTTACCGAGAAAAATGTCTGACCAAGAAATTGAGGACTTTGATGTGGACAATATGTCAGATACCTCTCGGATGATCCCAGGTCTTCCACCATATAACATGGAAGACCAACTCCTGCCCATGGAGTATCGAAGCAGATGGGGTTGCTGGATTTGGACCCTGTTTGTTTCTGGAGCCAACTTACTTGCTTTTCTAGTTAACTTCATTATCCTTGCTGTAATTTTCGCCATTGTCCTCACTCCAACCATCGTAGTGGTCTACTTCGGGTTTAAATGCCACTCCAGGGTAAGTGCATCAATTAACTCATCATTTAAATATCATACTTCAAAAACCATAATTACAATACAATATGTTTAGGAATACAATTAGTACAGCAACACACTATATAGCTTTGAAAAAGACCATGATCTTTTTTCAGTCTATGGAAAAGCACAAATTAATTCATATGAATTAATCTATAAATAATAAAAACAAAACAGTTAGAGCACCATTCTCATCATCAAAGTATAACTCATGATAGATTTTATGTTTTTTTTAAATGGTTTTAATCTCTTGTATTCTATATACATCACTGTGACAAATTTCTTGTATTATTTTGCTATGTAGCACTAAAAGATTCTGTAGCGCAGCCCGTAGATTTAATTAATTCAGGGAACCATGAATTCAGTATACTTGCAGACCTCTTAAGCCATTAAGTCATCACAGTTGATTTATCTCTGTCTGACTGCCTGTCTTTCACTCTGTATAGCACATCCATGGAATATTTAAATGTGGTGTTCATTCTCTGCATATATATGCTGTTTATTGCATGACTGAATTACCGCAATCTATAAAAGATGCTCAGTGTTTAACACAAAATGTACACATGGAATTTTTGATTCAGCTAGATAAAAATCAAAACGTGCATGCGTAACGCCACATATTTACACAATGTGACGTATTTTGAAAGTTGCAGATTTATTCAATCTGGAGAATATTTTACTTGATTTCTCACGTTATAAAAAAGGACCATTTCAATTGAATAAGTTTTGGAGTAAAGACGCCTGATCGCAAAAAGGAAATAATTGGCCTAATATCTAACAATTAGACTTGCACATGGTGAATTTTTTTTTTGATTTGACCACATTTTTTTTTTTCATTTCGCCAAATTTTATTTTCATCCAGGTGGCATTTCAGTTAAAATACATTCTGTCCATCACTTCAGAAAAATCAATTTGGATGAACCAAAATGACGCGAAAATGTGTACTGGAAAATATATTTTGTACATAATATAAATATTATGTATTTATTTTGAAGCACTCTTGCAGCACATTTTTGGCTCCATTTTGTTCACAGATCAAGTGACAAGAAGTAACCAATAGAGGGGAAAAAAAGTAGCGAACAAAAAAATAATTTTGTTTATTAAAGGACCACTAAACACCTTAACAACGTTATCTCGATGAAGTGGGATGGGTGCCGTGGTCTTGTATATTTCACCCTGCAACGTAAAACATTTCAGTTTATTTAGAAACAGACGGACAGCCACTGGAGGAGCTTACTACCGCAGAAAGTCAAGTAAAACCCGGTCACGTTACTGCAGCCCCTATAGGAAAGCATGTATTCAATGCTTTCGAACGAGAAGCATTGGATTGGACAGACTCTGGAGTAGGCCATTCAATTTCCGTGATGCTACGGAATGAGGAGAGGCAAGCAGGTTCCCTCTGGGCTGAAAAAAGATAGTGGAACTTTACGTTACTTTACGTTAGTGTTACAGTGCACTCTAGTAACTTAGTAATGTAAAAAAAGTATTTAAATATAGCACAGACACAGTTCACAAAGTGATATGGCTCGCTTTAAAATGTCATTGACAACAAGGTACTTTAACCCCTTAAGGACCAAACTTCTGGAATAAAAGGGAATCATGACATGTCACATGTGTCCTTAAGGGGTTAAAAAAGTTGGTTTGAAATAGTAAGAGGCAATAAAAGCTGACGGTTGCAGAGGTCACACATTCATCTAGTCTAGACTAAAGATGTCACAGAGGTTTACCAACATCTGGGCCATAGGTCTCAAGGGACATAGAGTCTCTACATCTGCTGATACCCCTAACATCATATGAGGGGCTAAGGGGCAGATAGACTGGTCTACCTAGTGTAGAAGTGAAAATAGGAACAGGTTATGACATTGGTGATATTTATTATTGAATATTATTTAATGTTTATTATATTCACTTGTGTGGAAAATGGGGACCTGAGAGATTCACTTCCTTCATCACACATCACAAGGAACTGGTTTCTAACAAAATATAACAGGAAAAGAATAGTATGTGCTAGGTTGGATTGAGAAACTATATCATGGAGACCTAAATATGTTTCATTCCGAAACACTGCTATGTGTTTAGCTCTGTTCTTTCATCATCTGCCGTGAGATGATGGCCATTGGATGGATGGCTGAGGATGGATCTTTCATGAGATGGATGTTCTCAGGGGTATTCACAGGTCTACCAAAACCTCTGCAACGTATGTAGTCCACAAGCAGGTACAAGATTATTCACTACACAATGAATTGTATCAAAAGTTGAAAGCTGAAATTAAAATTGATGCAATTGATGCAAACGACTTGGATAATTTTTTTTATAGATTATCTATGTTTGTATCAATCATGCCTTTCATATTTTAATTTGCTCCACTTGGGAGTTTAGTGAATAACCTTTAAGACTTGCTGCTGTTTCTCTTATTGTAGTTAAAGTGAAAATATGATCTTATGTAATAGACTTACATGGAATGAGTGAAACATTCAGACTATGTTACACTTTTCAACAAAAGAGTGTAAAATATTTTAAAAGACAAAGCTCATTCATGATGTCTTTGAATTCA